TGTTAAAGTAACAGATTATAGTTAAAAATGTCTCCAGAACTTTACTGGTTGATTTTGTTTATTCAGACCCCGACTGATTTTTAATTGGTTACCTCTGTTATAGATGGTAAAAGTTTCAAATGTTCATGTTTATATTGTCAAATAAAAGCGTCGTACTCAATGTATCTGCTGTAGTAAAGTGGCCTGATTCATACATTCTTAGCAGCTCTAATACCTGAAGATAAATTAGTTGATAATGTGTCTTTAAAGCCTCCGTGTAGAAATCTGTCTCAGATTAATTGACTGGACGCCTTGGATTAGCCGGCGAATATCTGATAAATCCAGTCAAATCTAAACTCCTACATCTGTAAACCGGAGAAGAGAAAGTGATGTTTCCCTAAGGCAGCATAGAGGATCGATCCTACGCCGTTCCTCTCCCACAGCTTTATCTAATTTGGCCTAATCCTGTTTGTTCCGGTGTAAACAGCGTTGGTGTGAAGCTGATGGTTGAACTACAGCAGGATCAGCTCCTAATCCTTCTAGGATGCAGACGTGGAGGAAAAGGCTTGTTTCTGTTTATATCAAAGGTCTTATCTCTTATTCCTCACAGATTGCAGGAAATGAAACAAATCTTGCTGAAAGGAAAAGATCAACAACATTGAAACAAATAGTTTCAATTGTTGTTAAAATTGTTTGACTGAAAAAAACAAGATTAGACATTTCTGTTACTAAATGAATTAGTTCTGATGATGACAGCAGCCTGCATGGCTAATGTTGCTTCACCCAAACAGACCTGAGCAGAGCAAGGCGAAGCTGAATACTCTGATGCTGCGTTCACACTGGGCGCATTACTCTTACTCTTAAGGCCAATTTATGCGTCTGACGCATAGCCTCTGCAACCGTCAAATCCATCTCTATGCGCGACCACGCCCCGCGCGCAGAGGTTCTGCAACCGTTGTTGCGCACTTCAAAAAACCCGACTACGCGTCGGACGGTCACAAACCTCCGCAGACCTCAAGCAGAAGTGCGCAGACAGAAAGCAGCTGTGATTGGTCCTTGTCTCAGCTCCCTCTTCACCACGACAGTCCGATACAGCGACCGCATCACTGCCAACGCCGCATCGATCCGTCTGTCGACCTCACGCTCCATCCGCCCCTCACTCGTGAACAAGACCCAGAGATACTGTTACCTGGGATACCTGTGTTTTTAAAAAGCTTTCTGTATCTCTGTGTTTCCACTCGCATCACTAAAAGGAGCTGATTTGGAGTCAGTTTTCCTCTGCAGCAGCGTCTTTATTCATAGTTAAAAGAGCAGCACAGAGCAGCGTATGTAACGCATGCCGGTTCCAGCACCTGAAATGGTCTCACAGTGACCTCTGACCCCCCCCTTGGAAAGGTCTGAGCCTCTAGTTTCCAATGATGGCGGCCATTAGGGGGCGGAGCTAAAAATGAATACCTGCTGTTGCATTACTTCAGAAAGAGTCACACGTCAGGTGGAATTTTAAATCTCATTATATTTGTTCACACAGTATAAACATACACAAACAGTGTGAAAAAATTTTTTAAAAAGGGGTTAAACATTTTAAAGGCCCATTTTGAAAGGCGTGTGGATGAAACACCATGTGACTGTGTTTTGGCCATTTCTATGAATAGAAATGAATAAAATTACACCCCTGAGATGGTTTATCTATGAATAAAAAATCCCCACTTCAGACTGTATAAGCCTACAGGCAGTTTCTTCTATGCTGATAACTCTTTATAGACGGATAGAAATGTTTAATTATTGACTAAATGAATGAAAATATCCTTGAAATGAGTAAATAACTCTTAGATTTTTTTAGTTGGTCCATTCTAAAAGCAGCTTTGAGACTGAAAGAAATCAGGAAGTCTAAATGAACTGTTGGAATAGAACATAGAAAGCGGCTAAAGGAGGTGAGGAAGACTCTCCGTTACGTCTAAGCTGGAGGTGAGGTTGATCTTAGAAGGGAGCAGATATGGCGTGCTGATGGGGAGTCCAGGCGCAGCGTGCCAGCTGAGCAGAGGCCAGAGAGGCAGAGCCCAGGCCAGACACTGCTCCCTCTGTTCAGCTCTTCAGACGGCGGAGGAAAACAGGCTGCTTTGGAAATCTGTCGGTGGGATGCAGTAAAATTCCTCCATTCATTCTGGATGACTGTCTGTAGCAAGGCTGCCGTTCTCTGCTGGCTACAAATAGCCTGACAGGCAGGCCTGTGTTTGGGCTCCGACAAAAGCATTCATCCTTTCTCTTTAGAACGTCAACAACAACCAGAAAGGGTCCCGTTAGTGAAGCACAGAGTCCCAGAAGAACAGAGTAGCTCCCAGTTTAATTCAATTCTATTCAGTTTATTTCTATAGCTCCAATTCACATCATGTCATCTCAGGTCACTTTCCAGTTCACCAGATCATCCAGT